ACACAAAGCCTAAGAGAAGACCACAGCCCAGAACCTGGAGGAGGTGCACAGGGCACGGAATGACAGAAGAAAGGAGAGAGGGAGGAAGGGAGAGAAGGTGGGACAGAGCAGGAACTCTAACCTCAGAGTCTCAGGGCCAGTCTTGCTCATGACGCCTGACCAGAGAAAGCCTCACAGCCCTTTGGAGCTGCTGCCTCCCCCACAAACTGACATGGGCTCAGTCTCCCTTTACTGGGCTCAGAAAGCCCCCTGTGGGTGTTCTAAGAAGCGCTGTGTCTGGGAGTCCGGGGGCTGTGGTTAGGGATAAAGAGTATACAGAAATCCACTCAAAGGTGGAGAGACACCAGCCCAGCGCCCCTGAGACCTCACAGGGTCAGCCCAGTGTGCAGAGATGGGATTCAAAACCAGATCCCTCTGAATTCAAAGTTCACCTTCTTTCTCTTGTTAGGTGGCCAACGTCAAGAAAAGGGTCCGAAACATTTCATGTGGAGACTAGGGGTATGCCCCAGGCTCTCTGTCCTCACCCTACCCATCTTCTGTACTCACCTGTTTGTTCTGGAGGCTGAGACAGAGATGAGCAGAACCCTGGCCTGCCAAGGAGGAGCTGAGAAAAGTGGCGGAAGGCTGGGGGACAAGCAGGCCAGTTCCTGATCGAGGATGGGCTGAGACCCCAGTTTTCTCACCTGGCGGGTGCAGGGAAACACTCTGGTTTTCTGTGTAAAAGTAGACGTTGTCACCATTCATCTCTGTTTCCATCTTCCTCCAATGCTGCTCCCTGCCTCTGCCCCCAAAAAGCCGTGTTGTGGGACAGTAGTGGTGGGAAGAGAAGCTGAGATACCCCGGACTTATATGCTCCCGATCAGGCCCTGACCACCCCCAAGCTCTGCCTCCTTTCCCTGCTGACTCTGCAGAAGCACCCCAGTGGGGCCCCTCCCCTCAGGACTCCAAGCACCAGTCCATCCAGGCACCCCGAGTGCTAAGAAATCTGCAGCCCACTCCACTGGTAGAGGAGCCATACTGAAAGCATCTCCTCCTGAGGCTGGGCCAGGAGGGCAGCCTTAGTCCAAGGAAGGCTATGTCTTGGATGGCCTGTCAGCTCAGATAGCAACTAGCCTAGTGCACAGCTGATCTGCAGAGTGGGGAAGGAGTGGTTGCTTATACCCAGTTCGTGATGGCAGAAAAGAAAGGGTGTGTCTTGGTTTCTATTTCCCCATATACAGGAAGGGCCCAGGCCAGGCCCACTCAAGAGCTGATTCATTCTAGGGCCTGAGAAGCTAAGGGATCCTCAAAACAGAAATTTGAGGACCCCTTATCCACCTGGAAGGGCTGAGCCTGGACCAGGAGAAGCGCATAGTCCTCCAGATGTGGTGGCCTCAGAGGTGCGATCAGCAGGACGGACTCCTCCTGTAGCCCCCTCTTCCCTGTCCCCATTCCCCTCCAACCCTCAGCTCCAAGATTTTACTTCTCCCACAAGAGCACCACCTGCCAGCAGGAAAGAAACGCCAGGAGGCTGCCACATCCTTGCCAAGAGGTCTCTGTGCTCTGGCCAGAAAAAATCAAATGGACATTTTATACATTAATATCAGAACCATTCATCAGCCAGGACCTCTCACATTGGTTTTCCCTGTCCCTACTGAAGGGTACAGGGCCATGCTCCTAGAGATGCAGACCCCTAGCTTCAGGCACCCCAGAAGTTTTTCAGTCATCCATATTAACCCCTAACAACACAGGGTGGTCAGCTGTATTCCAGAGAGGAGCTAGATCCAGCAGTTTTGATAGAAAGCCCCACAGCCTGTAAGCAGGAGCCCTTAGAAGCTGAGCGCTAACAATCGCCCTTCTTCAGGCATCTGTCCTGGGATTTGTCTTGAGAACTACCCTTCTCTCATGCTGCCCCTATTCAGTAAGGGCGAGGCTGAACCCATATCCAATTCCCAGCCCCAGGAATGGGGGTGGGGCTCCATCAACATAACCCACCTCTCTGACCTCTGTCATTGCTTCAGGGATAAGCATGTGACCCAGTGCTGGGTTTTGGTTGGAACTGTTGGAAAAGGGGTGTTCTTTTCTCTGAAGGTGCAGAGCCATGAGGTTGTAAGCTTGGAGCTACGAAGATCACCTCTGAGAAGTCTGCTTGGCACTGACTCCAAACCAGAGGCAGCCAGAGGCAGAACTGGGCAGAGGCAGCTTCATGGCCTGATTGAGCACCTGTACCCAGCTGCACAAAGTATCTTTCCAGCCCACGTTGAATCCAACAACAGCAACAACAATCCCTCACATCACAGGCCTCAGTGCAGGCCACCATCTCCCCTGGCTTTGACTCCATTAGTCTTCTAACGGTTCTCCCTGCCCCTGGCCTTGCCTCGCTTAAGTCTTGTCGCCATATTGCAGGCATAATGATCTTTTCAGAAAAATAATTAGGTATGCACACATATATTACCTAGCTCTCTCAGCCAAGAAGAAACAACAACACTCCAATAGCAGTGGCATCCAGATCTTGGTTTCTAATACCATTCTCCAAAAACAGAAACCAGGTCTTTTTAGGGACATGGCTGATTCTAGGACTGGGACAGGAAATATACAAAAATGAGCTTGGAGTATCTTGTGCTGCCAGAAAGTTAAAGAGATGTTTTTTAAAAAAATGATAAAAGTATGTCAAAAGGACACCGGAGACAACTGAAAGCAAGCTCCCAATGGCAAAAGCTAGAACAACTTGAGCAAGAAAATATATATAGTATTATCAGATTATAACTCAAAGTATAAAAATCTATGAATTCATGCTGATGTAAATAAGTTTAAATACATAAACAAACAGATAAATTCCCCATGCAGAAAAATTCCAAGTAATTTCTGTAAATACTCCATCCTCAAGAAAGTAGAACATAACTCCCACTCCTCAAGTGTGGGCTACACACAGTGACTGCTATGGTCTGAATGTTTGTGTCTCCCCAAATCCATATGCTGCAATCCTAACTCTCAATTGTGATGGAATTAGGAGTTGGGGCCTTTGGGAAGTGAGGAGGTCACAAGGGTGGAATTCTCATGAAATGGACTAGTGCTCTTATTTTTTTAAAAAGGGTCCCAGAGAACTTGTTTGATTCTTCCACCATGTAAAGACACAACAAGGAGTCTGCAACCTGGAAGACAGCCCATTTCATTGAAGGAAAATGTCCTCTTTTCAGGACCCTAATAGGGTCCTAACGAGAATGCTAACGAGGGGAGGGCCGCTCTGCTGAGCCCACTCCTGTGCTCACACGATGCTCCTTCCTGAGTCCTCTCTACTCCCCTCCTGTCTGCTGCCCTCTGGATTCCTGCCTCAGTCCCTGGACTGGGATTTGGAACCAATACCCACGAACAGGGTCTCTGTGAAGAGTGGGAAACCTGAACACTCTCCCCCTTGGGAGTAAAGTCAGAGAATAGAAGATGGTCCAATGAACATCAGACAGGAGAGACCACCAAGAAAGTCATGACACCGCAGACCTCACTCTCCTCCATTTCAATAAAACCAGGGGTAAGCACTGCTCATATTCTGTGGCATTTCTAGAGCTGGAATTTCCCTACTCCTTGTTAATTTTGAACCCTCAGCTGGTTCCTGAGGGTACCCCAGAACTTCATGTCCAGCAAAGCAGATGACCTTCCCTGAACATCCACCTCTATACCCAGGAATAAAACATGCACACAGAGAGAGGCCTTTATCCAGGGAGCACTTTATTCTAATAAAGCCTGGAAGCTTTATTCTAACGAAACTCTTCAGGGAGGGAAGGCTACTTCCTCTGCACAGGGCATGGGAAGAGGAGAAATGAAAAAGAAAGAGGAGGTGCAAGGCGGTGAGGCTGGGGGTGGGAAGGTGGCTGGGCCTCAGAGTTTACGAGTGTGGGGAAAGGAGAAAGAGCCCGGATGTTGGTCCAGCTCTAAAATGAGACACGTTTCCATGTCAGACTCTGATCTGAACCAGTTGATCCCGTCCAGGTGAAGAAGAGGTTCAGACCTCAGAGGATGCAGATGAAGAGGATGATAAGGACGTGGCACGGACAGAATCACCAAGAGCAGAGCTCTTCCCACTGAGAACATGGACAACTGGGAATTTGGGGGGAATCAACCAGAAAAGCGCTGAGTATGCAATCAGAATTGCTTGGACGTCTGAAGCAAATTTCATGAGGTGAAACTGAGGCTTCTCTGAAGGTACAAGAAATCCCAGGGTATTGCCCCAAATTATGAGTCCTGATCCACCTTGCTGAGGCAGTTTTAGTTTCTAAATCCTCTCCACACTCCCCTCCCATTTTGACCCAAGATCGCCTTTCCATTCCAGCTACCTCTGTAGGGGCGGAGAACTCCGAGCCAAGGCAGACAGATTCCAGGATGCCTTTGGGACAATTTTGAAGCAAGGAAAATTAAGATGCAAAGTCACCCAGGAGTATGGAGGACAGAGCAGCATTTCCTCGAGTTCGTCAAGCACTGGAGCTCAAAGTACCAGCTTGGGGGCCAGTCCTGTCATGGTTCTGATGGCTTAGAGGGCCGTTTACAGATGAAAAGGAACGTTTTGTCACAGGAGGCATCATTCCATGACTGAAGCGAGTACCTGTTCATATTGGCACAGTGTTCATTGTTCCCAGTATTGTTGGGCTCACCTGGAATCCAGAACCTACCAAAGGAAAATACAAAGAAAAACTTATTTCCAATGAAGAAATGAGTGGCTTCAATCCAATCTTTGGTCCTTGGTGACAGCGTCACAAGTTTTTGCACCCAGGCCTCAGAGAAAGGGAATTGGTGAGCTGTCAACCTCTAAGCCTGCAATCACCACCACCACCCACCCCCAAGTTAGGCCAAACCAGCCCACCTCTCTCAAGGCCCTACACAAATCCACAGTACTGAGACTAGACTTAGAACAGAGCCCCCGCCGAAGCTGGGTGGACGGTCATGCTGCCAAACCCCAAAGGACACAGAAAGGCCACAGATTTGTCCCCTGTCCCACAGCCCATTAGTGGCAGAGGAGAACTGGATTTTGGTTCAGTGCTCCTGCCACCCATGGACAGGGAAGAACCACAAGCCCTGTAGTCAGAGGGAAATATCACCCCATCCTTTGTGCCGCGGCCCTGCCCCAAAAATGTCTGGCTGAAAAGGAGGGCTCTGGGTGGCTTACCTCATACTCAAGGCCTTGTTGAATGGAGTATCATCCACCCATTTCCAGTCCCCCTCACTCCCTGCTTTGGTCAGGCCAATCCAGTGGACAAGTCCACCAGCTGTTTTGTACAGAAACTCCTGTAGGGAAGACAGAATGAGTAGAAGTGCCACCATCACTTGGAGTTGAAGCACCTGTCTCTCTAGGTGTTCCTCACCTGTCCTCAGTGACAGCCCACAGACACATGGGCACACTGATCTCTAAAGCCTCTTCCTGTCCCTGCCCAGAGCCCAGAGTCCGTCTTCCAATTCCCGATTTGTCTCTGCTCTGCAACGAATAGACTCAGGACTCAGGCCTTTCTGTCCCTCAGGAAGGAGGTGCCGGAGCACAGGAAAGATTTGGCTAAACCCCAGAGCAGGAACCCCAGGAGAATGGCCCAGATAATAATAGCTACATTTAATGAGCACTTAATATGTGCAAGACACTGTACATTTCTATGCATTTACCTGTTTTTTGTCCTCTGAAGCAGGGACTATTGTCATATGTGTTCCATCTAGGACTAGTTAGAGACAGGGTTGGGGCTCTCGACTCTGACCCCAGAGCCCACACTCTTACCTACACTGCTAGCGCATCGCCCCAATGAAAGGGGCTTGTTTAATATTCTGTCCCACAACAAGGAGACCTCTTGGGTTGTGGTGTGCCGTTAATGCTGTTTACAAATATTTCTAGGCATGCAGAAAGGTGTACCTCCCTGTACTCTTTGAAGCCAGGAGTATTGGGTCATTGCTTTGCAAATGAAATGTGAGTGAAAGCGATGTCTGTTATTTCTAAGCAGAACCAACATACAATTTGTCATGTTTCCTTTTCCTAGCTCAGCAATTATGGAAACATACATTGAGATGAGGTCTCCTTTGGTCTGCATCCTTGAGTAACCACAATGAGTAAAACCCCTGTTGGCCCTTGTTGGACATGTAGTGTATGTAAGGAATAACTCTTCACTGTGAAGTCACTGATATTTGGGGATTTTTGTCACCATGACACAGTCTTTCCCATGCTGCCTAATACAGCTATGAGTATACCCCCCTTCTTAGAGCCTATGGGACCAGCACTCACCTGTTCACTCACTGAAGTCACTGAAGTCAGGTGTGAATCCCTGGATCTACAGAACTGCTGGGCACTGTACCAGGTCTTTGAGACACGAGAAAAGTAATAGAAGTTCCCCCCGAAGTGCTTCCAGCCTTGAGAAACCATCTGTAGAATGTCATCTGGAGAGCAAGGGTGAAAGGTGAACACTGGTGTTCCTGTTTTCTCTGGGTTCTGACTAAGGTGGGCCACGTGATTGGAATCCCAGAGACAGCAGTGAATGGGGCTGGGCTCTGGGGTCCTTGGGGACACTCTCTCGGGTCCTCAAAGTTTGACAGATTAGTAGAGTCTCTGGTCTCAGAGAGGGGAGAGTGAGAGAGGATGGATCAAGAAGCTGTCTCTCTCATGAGAGAGAAGAAATTCTCCCCTAGCCATCACAAGTGACTGGGCTCCTGGGCTTTAGATAAGGAACTTAATGAAAAATGGCTAGGTTTGGGCCAGGAAAGAGACTCCTAATGCTTTTATAGTCTATGTCTTTGTTTGGGAGCCCAAGCTTGTTTCTGGTTCCTTCACTCCTGAAAAGTCCCTAAGTCCTCCCTAACCCCAGTGCTGAGCCATCTCTCAGATTTCCAGCCACGTCTGCCCTGCTCCTCTCCCCCTTGCCTCCACACACACCAGCCCAATGGCTTCATGCCCGAGATTGGCAAGGTCCCACGGGCCACTGATCAGTTGTCAATGTTTTTTTCTGAGTCACTTACTTTGCTGTTCGAGCAACTTTCTGATATTCTCCAAACTGCTCTGGAGTCCCCGGACCTTCTGATTTAAAGCACTGGCTTTATCCAAATCTCTTTTTAACTCTGGGATTTGGGCATTTAAATTATAGATGTCCTCCCAACTTTTAGTTAATATCTGGATCTGTGCATTGGCTGTTTTCACACCAGCTTCCAACCTCCGGATATGAGAATGCACATGATCGAGGCTAGCATTCACCATCTGGACCTGAATGCCAGCTGCCTCCACGCCACCTCTGTTCCTCTTAATTTCAGAACTCAGGGTGCTGATGTTGTCCACACGACCGTTCAGCAACTGGGCACTGGTCTTTACATCTGATAGTGTGTTCATAAACCACGGATCTGGATGTGAGAAAATCCAGAAGTCAGTCAAGGGGATTCCTAGGGATGGGGGTGGGGGTGTTATCAGGGTGATTAAAGGAAGGAGAGGGAAGGGAAGGGACAGGCTCAAGCTTCTGAAGGACCCAACCCAAGGAGCTGTTGCCTACCCTCCATTCATTTATAATCTATTCATACAACAAACAGGCATGACACCTACCATGTGCCAGGAACCCTGGTAGATGCTGGTAATGCAAAGATTGATAAGCACAGGCTCTCTGTTTAGAAGACTTCATAGGCAAGCAGAAGCGGGGATTCAAATTTTCTTTGTCCTAAATTTTCTTTGAGTGTTCAGGGCATATTTGATAAAGGGATGCCCTCAACCACCCCCTTATCACTCTCCCTATATCCTTCTGGGCCCCATCACTTGATTCCCAGCCCTCTCCTGCAGTGGCCATCAGTGAGGGCAACACCACCCTTTCTCCATCTGTCCACAGGCTCTTCGTAACCATGGGAGGAGCCAGCCACGCAGACTTCTAATCTGTTCTCTTCTAATCCAGAGACCACAGAAAGGGAGAATTATAAAACCACTTCACCTTTTCCCTTGTCCCTCCCACTGTCACATTCTGCTTGGGCCACAGGCTTGGTGACAGAGAGGAGACCAAAAGTAAACCGAGAGGACTCTAAGCAGAGGAGACTCTGCTCAGAGGCTCAAAGTCTGAAAGCCAATATGTCCTGAGGCCATGAAGGGAGAAGACAGACAGACGTTCCCTCCCTCTGCTTTCTGTAGACCTGGTGGGAGATGAAGGCTCTGCCAGCAGCAGATGCCATAAGCCTTGGCAAAGCTGGAAGAGGAAGGAAGATAAGTCACACACCCAATGAAGAAGTAGGAAGTCTCCCTTGACATGATCCTTGCGGGAATGGGAGAATGAAAAGAACATGAAGGGGTCCTGCTGAGGGGAGGTGCCATGGACATTCATTGGCTTGGCGGCCAGGTTCTCCATCTTGTCAGTTGGAGTGGAGGATGCAGTTGGGACTCCATCTCTTGTGGGGTCAGGTAATATCTCACTCACTGTTGGGGGCTGCCCACTACATTCTGGACCAAAGGGACGCAGAGCTCAGAGAGGGAGGAGAAAATGACACGGGATGAAGAAACTGGTGAACGTTTCCCGGGGACAAAAGAGTGTATCTTTCAGCACAAGCAGGCAAGTGCTGATCCCATTCAGGAAAATCTCCCCAGAATCAGGAAGGAAAGAGCAGCAGCTCATCTTACTGAGGACAGGGACCCTGTAACTGCACAGAGAAAGAGGAGAAATGAAACAAATGAAAAAGCCACAGGCAGGAGAGACCACTGGAGAGCAGGAAAGTGAGGGTCTGGATTGGAGGAGGCTGACTGACCCTGGAGAAGCACCAAGTCCAGATGATTAACCCAGAGGACTTACAGAGAATGGCCTGCAGCAGGACAGAGGCAAGCAGGACCAGCGTCAGGACGATTACAGCAGCACGGACTGTGCACGTTTTCCTCAGAACCAGAGACGAACCCGTCTGGGGAGGAGGCTCTGTCAGAAAAGAACATTTGTTGAAGGACCAGCAAATGATGGGTTTGGGCACAGAGCACTAAGGAGGTTCTGAGCAGGGACTGGGGCTTACCTCGGGGCCAGAGAGAGATGTTCTGTTTATCTACAGAGAAGTGCACATCAGGGACCTCGCTCTCTGCAGTCTTCATCCTGCACATTCACCCTTGCAGCACAGGTGCTTCTGGCTATTTGGCTCCCCAAGAAGCTTTTATCTAGCGGGAAAGGGAAGTGAGCCCCACAAGAGGTCGTCATGTATCCCAAAGTTCCCCATTCCTGCCTTACATACCTTGTCTGGCCTGTGCCACAGCTCAGTCCTCTCTTCAAAGGTCTGAGCTTTCAGGAAGAGGTATTTGTCTTCTTCTCTTGGGGGGGGGGGTCTGTTACATGGACACTTTAACCATCTTGTCCCAAGGTTATTCTACTTCTTTTATCCCCTCATCCAGCATCTATCCACCCATCCATTTATCCCACAAATACATATTGAGTGCCTTCTAGGTACCAGCTACGGTGCAAGGATTGGGCCACGAAAATGAATACTCATAGTCTTTGCACTCATGCAGCTCACAGTCTGGAAGGAAAGACAGAGCCAAGCAAATAAATTACAATACAGGTGACAATTACAACAATAAAGGAATATGCACAGTTCAAAAGAAGTAAAGAGAATGGGGTAATGGTAAAGAGTTCCAGATAGAAGGGTTAGCATATTTTAAAGACAGCATGAGTGCCTGGCAATTGCCAGTAGTTTGGTGGTGGTGTTGGAGTGTAAAGCATGTGACAGAAATGAAGTTCATGGGGCTAAAGAGGCACCTGGGGTCAAAGCATGAAGTCCTTTTGAATTATGTTAAGAAGCTTGAACTCTGGCTTATCGGTGACATGGAGCCAATAAAGGATTCCAGGCAGGAGAGAGACAAGGACAGGGACATTGTAGAAAGATCACTCTGATCATGGCGAGAAGCATAGATCAGGGTGTGGAAAACCTGGAAGCCGGGAGACCAGTAAAGAAACCATTGCAATAGAATATTCTACTTTCTGTTATTAAGGCATCTTAGATGATACAGTATCCCTTTATAAGGGACTTGGAGATGTAACATTTAAGTGGAAGACTTGGGTTCACCTCCCTGTTTCCTGTACTTGTGAGCTTCTTAAAGTGGGGAGGCTCAGACATCAGATCAGGAACTGTTCTTTCATATCAGTGCAGAGAAAAACTGATCTGGGGCTCAGTGAAGGACTCGTTTGTCTCCTGGGCCGCTTCTCATGCTTTGAAGAAGCCTGCCAAATCTGAGAAGCCTTGTACATAACAGATTCTAAACAACTGTTTCTTGGAAGACAGGAAAGAAAAGAGGGAAGAGAAGAAGGGGGGTGGGGGAGAAAAGAAAGTTAATCCAGAAAATTGGATGGATGGATGGATGGATGGATGGATGGATGGATGGATGGATGGATGATGGATAGAAGACTGATGAATGGATAGATGATGGATGGATGATCAATGAGTAGATGAATGGATGGATGGATGGATGGATGGATGGATGGATGGATGGATCAATTGATCAATGGTTGGGTACATGAAAGATAAATGAATGGAAGAATTGATAGCTTATCATTTCTCAGTTTTGAAACCTACATTCTATGGACTGGGATCTATCTTCCAGAAGCTACTGCTTCTTCCCACTGTCTCCAAAAGTTCTCATTCTTTTCCATAGCAAAATCACAAGGGAAGTATGACTGACACCTTACCCAAAATGCAAAAAAAAAGCCTCTGGCCAGAGGACTAGAAAGTTAGCCTAGCCTCACTGAGACTAAGCCAGTGAAGCTGGATGGCAGAGTGGTGTCAGGGACCTGGGCTGGAAACTAAATGAGCAAGGCCAAGGAAACAGCTACCTACACTTTCAGGGGACATTTGAGAGGATCTTATCTCCCTGCTCAGCCCAGCCTTGTCTGGCCAGCCCATGGTTCTTACAGGCCCCTTGCCGCTCACTTTCTGGCTGACTAGGCCTCAGACTGGAGCTGCGTCTCTGACTGGATGAGACAACCCGGGGAGGACTCCACACCACACTCCCCAAGTGCTGGGAAGGAAACTGGGTCACAAGGATGGTATCCCATTCATCCTATCTCATCTCCTCCCTTCCCACATTCTGTCTATAGCTTCCAGGACAGGTTCTAACCTTGGACATTAGTTAATTGTGTAAACTGGCCTCATTCTCACTCACTGCCTGTCTGAGCGTTTATGACTACACCTATTTTCTTCAGGCTGCTCATTTAGTTGCAGAGCCTTGGTTCCCCCGATTAGAAGGTTCTGCTCCTGAACTGTCATGCTTGGTACCCAGTCTAACCCTAGAGTCACCTCAGCCCTCTGCACCTGACTCCCGGCCCTACATTCACAACGTGTCACAGTCCAGGGCCTGGGGGTGGAGAAGAACCCAAGTTGCTCAAGACCCTGGTAGAAGGTGCCATTGGGGGCTGGGTCTCCCCCCTGAGGCATTTGAGGGAGAGAAGCTGCCACATAACACAACTTGGGAGCAGCTGGCCCCTTTCTTCTCTGTCAAAATGTTGACTTTTCCCAAACCTCTGCTGATTGGTAGCACGAGCCATTGATGGAACACCCACATGCTCTCTCCGTGGTCCTAGAAAAGGATCCAGAAGGCCTCACCATGCTGACGCCCACTGTGGAAGAGGGACTGGGGTTGGGGAGCACTTATCCAAGTGCTAGAAATGGAGGCCTCAGATAGACAGTCTGCTGATTTCTGGGCAAAAGGCTGATCCAGCATGAGGAAGCTAAACATGAAGCAACCAGAATCCTAGGCTGTGGGCCCTGCGGGGTTTCATGGGCAGTGGGTATAAAAGTCCCAGCTATAAGGAGTTTCATTTCCTACTGGTAAAGAAGGAGGGAGTCACATGCTGTTTTCCTATGGCCAGGCCCATTTGCAGCTGTTTTCTGAGCACAAGTACCCGTCCCGTGCATCCCTCTGAATGCTTTATCAGGCCCCTGACCCAACAGCCTTGGAGGAGAAAGGACAGAGCGGGAGACAAGTGCTTCAGCCACACTCTCTAGCCAGAAAAGTGAGCAGTTCTCCTGGACACTTAGGAAATGTCAGTTCTTCCAAACAGAGGAGGAACTTTGGGTCAGACCAGGAGTGACCAAAATCAGTGCTGTAATGAGAGAAAGGGAAGTCCGTGCTCATTTTTTCGTTCCCCCACTAGTCATGCTCTTGAGGTTCTAAGACCTTCTCTGGATAAGGGCAGAGGAAGGAAACAATTTGGCCAATTTTCTCCCTTCTCTGGCTGGGACCCACCTTATGCTTAAAGGTGGGCCATGGATATAATCAATGGGAGTGGAAAATAAACCTGGTTGTTAAGAAACTAGAATTGACAAAAAAAAATCAGGGAAAGGTAACTGGGGGGCAGGAAGAATAACTATGAAATGAAAAAGGAGCTATTACAGCTGGTCAGGCTGGTCCACAGGCCTCAGAGGGAATATAATGTGATGGGGGATTTGACCAGCAGACCCCAGACAATCAGATGGTTCCTTTGATTATGGACGTGTGCTCTGGGGAGAGGGGATAAGGCAGAGACACCAAGAAAGGAGCGGTAGGTGAGACAACTCACTTCCATTCCTCTAGAATGCCTGCTCTGCACCAGACACAAGGAGGAAGTCAGATAGACCCTGCTGGGGAAACAGCATTCCTCTTGTTGGAAAAAAATATGCTTTTTTTTTTTTAAATTCTAGGGAAAAGGTAAGAATCTCCCAAGACTGAAAAGGAGCACCGAGACTGCAGGGAGCCTCCCCAGGTCACCCTTGAACCTAGGAATGGGCTCCTCTTTTTTAGAACATTGTGTGGAAGCCGGTTCCTCTGGAACAGTGACAATGGGCCAGACCTCAGTGAACAGGCCATTACATCCGGTGCCGTCATTTAAGTATTATGGTATGGATATGGGTGGGCGACCTGGCTGCTTGGAGGGATTGCTGAGTTTCAGGAAGCTGCTCTGAACTATCCAAGTCAAAGAGTGCTTGCCTGTGGTCTTAATGAGAAGGGCAAATTCATGTCAGGAAAGTAACAAAGGGCTCTTTAAAACAAGTATGCATAGTTCTTTTTAAATCTTTTATTTCTTTATTATGTAAATAATGATATTTATATAGAAAAAATCCAGGCAAGCAAAAAAGAAAAAATTACCTACTGTAAAAAAAAAAAAGCTATATACCAGTTCATTCTTCCTATCTCTGTGTATATATATCTACATCTATATCCATAGCTATATCTAACTATAACCGTGTGTATATATTTATAGAAGTATCAAAATGGGATAGCTCCTATTTATTTTCCCCATCATCCTTCCCACTCCCGTTTCTGATACCAAAAATCCCCTTCCTTTGAGAAACCACTCCCCCTTTGAAGCCCCCACCTTTCTTGGCTTACAGCCAACATCAGCATGTAGAGTTTTTAGCCACACCCCATCAGTGACACTGAGTCTTCTGCCTCCTGCTTCCACGTTAAGGACTCTTACATTGGGCTCAGCCATATAATCCAGGATAATTTCCATATCTTAAAGTCAGCTAGTTAGCAACCTTCATTCCACTTTTCCATATAACTTAATATACTTCTAGGTTCTGAGGATTAAGATGTAGACATCTTCGCAGCTTACCACACTTCTTCACTGTATTAAGTTCGGGTGGCCTTAATGGAACCATTCAGAAAGTTTGGTATATGTCCCTGGAGTTTGAGAGATATAAAGTCTGGTACTTGACACATGGATGAAAAGTCTAAGGGCTTCAGTAGGTGAATGGATAAATAAACTGTGGTATATCAGACAATGGAATATTACTCAGCGCTAAAAAGAATGAGCTATCAAGCCATGAAAAGACATGGAGGAATTTAAATGCATATTACTAAGAGAAAGAAGCCAAACTGAAAAGGCTATATAACGTATGGTTCCAACCATATGACATTCTGGAAGAGCCAAAACTGTGGACACAATAAAAAGATGGGTGGTTGCCAGATGTTATAGGGAAGGGAGGGATGAATAGGTGGAGCACAGAGGATTTTTAGAGCAGTGAAACTATTCTATATAATAGTGAGGATACATGTCAGTACACATTTGTCTAAACCCATAGAATGTACAACACCAAGAATGAACCCTAATGTAAACTATGGACTGTGGGCGATTACGATGTGTCAATGTAGTTTCATCAGTTTAAACAAATACACCCTTCTGGTGA